ATATTACTATCAATAACAAACGCTGCATACAAATCATCTATGTGTTGGTATTCTCACGTCATTTTAAGTAAATTCAAAGAAAAAAAGTTCCACTGACATACGGACCTGAAAACCATGAAAATAAGTACGAAATAACAACTGCTGCCGGCGGACAATTGTTAGATAAGTGACAGGTCGGTAAAAAGGAAATAAAAAGCGCACAGTTATAAGCCCAGGTTTCTATGATTATTTTTCAAGAAGAAGAGGCGTAGGTTTTTTACGAATGTTTTGTGAGTACCTTCAAAGCCTGAACTTTTAAAGAATAGTATTTTAATCAACTCCAGAACGTGGATATTAAAAATTCACATAATTGTGGATTTTTTAAAGAATTATTTTCAGTGATCCAAAAAAGGCGTGAATTTTTTAAAGAATATTTTTTCAGGGACCCAAACAAGGCGTGAATTTTTTAAAGAATATTTTTTTAGTGACTTCCACAGGCGTGGATTTTTTAAAGAATATTTTTTTAGTGACTTCCACAGGCGTGGATTTTTTAAAGAATATTTTTTTAGTGACTTCCAAAGGCGTGGATTTTTTAAAGAATATTTTTTCAGGGACCCAAACAAGGCATGGATTTTTTTGAAAGAATATTTGTTTCACTCTCAAAAATAAGCGTGATTTTTTTTAAGAATATCGTTGATTCCTCCCGTTACATATTTGATTGTCTTCAAACAATTATTCCAATATTGATTTTTGTTGTTGTTTTAATTTGATAAACAACATTTAGTTACGCATTAGTTAAGCTTTTGATGAATAACAGTGGCCATTTGAAATAATCCGCTCATTAGAAAACAAAAAAAAAATGATATTATAGCTTGCGGTCACAAACAAAACACAAAGATCATATATTTCTTACAACAATACTCTCCAAAGAAGAAAAAAAACTTTGTTGTCCCGAGCATATTCGTATGTTAATGTTGTTTTGCTGTTTTATTTTCAGACTGTCTTTCTGTCCGTCCGTCTGTTATAAGTGTAGAAAAATAACAAATGTGATGAATGTTTTTTTTTTTTTTGGGAGACTATAAAAAACTGTTCGCTAACGACATGTATAAATAATTTTGCCACTCGCCATTTAGAAATCAGTAACAAATAATCTATTCAACATGAAAGTCTTCATTGTATTCGCTATGTTGGTGGCAGCCGTCTGCGCCCTGCCTCAATTCGGTTTTCCCTATGGTGGCGGTTTTGGCCGTCCTGGATTCGGTGGTTTCGGCGGTCCTGGTTTTGGTCGCCCTGGTTTCGGTGGTCCTGGTTTCGGTGGTCCTGGTTTTGGTCGGTGGCGGTTTTGGTGGTCCTGGCTTTGGTGGACCCGCATATGGTCGTCCTGGATTCGGTTTCCCTGGTCGTGTTGGCGGTGGTGGTGGTGCTGCCTCAGCTTCTGCTTCTGCATCAGCCTCCGCTGCTGGTGGTGGTGGCCGTTTCGGTGGTGGTTCAGCTGCCGCTTCTGCTGCTGCCTCAGCCTCCGCTGCTGGTGGTGGATTCCGCGGTTAAACGACAAAGGAGTACAAAAGTTATAACTGGATTAAAAAAAATTCAATATTTGTTAAATATTATTTAAGACTTAATATTTATTTTTTAACAACAACTAAGGACAAGCCTAGGCATTAAGACATGGATGAAACAAAAATAAATTAAAAATAATAATTTTATAAATTAAAATTATGTAGTGTGTTTGAATGCTTAAAGAAGTTCAACAAAATGTGTGGCAGCGTTTAATGAAATAAATTTTCTTTCTAAAGGATTTAATTTCTTTAAAAATCTGGTGAATGGTGAATGAAAAAAATATTCTTTAAAAATATACGCTTATTGGTATGATGGTGGCGGAAAATATTCTTGGAAATTCTCCCCTTATTGGTACGATGGTCCTCGAAAAAATATTTTTATATTTTTTCAAAGGCGTGGATTTTTAAAGAATATTTCTTATATATATATCTTTAAGTATACCGATCGTCATATCTCGACTAGCTGAGTCGATCTAGACATGTGTGTCCGTCCGTCCGTCTGTCCATTATAATTTGTAAACACGATACAGGCCACAGTTATGGACCTATCTTCACGAAATTTTGCATGTAGGATGGGTTCTGCCAATGAAGACCCCTATTGTCTTTGGAAAAGATCGGTTAATATTTAGGGGATGATATGGACCATGGAGAAAGGGATCGGGCCAAAGAATAAGCATGCCTGTTTTGATAAAGATCGGTCAATATTTAGCCGTTCAAATGGACCCTGACTTTTGTGTGAAAATGACAAAAAATGGTATTCTATGGCGTATATATTTGCCCCTAAAGGACCTAGACCCGAGAAGATGATAGTATATTCAAGAGGAGTGGTTGACCTTTAAATTGATACCAATTATATGGTATGTACTCAGATGTGGGAGTCACACTTAAATATTTACGGGTGCTTACGTATTCGGACATTATTTAGTAACCGTTTACCAAACTTGAGGGCGGAAATATAGCGTTGATCGCTTTGAAATTTACCATGAGATTCCAATTATGGTCAGGGACAACACCTATCGTTTTTTGTGATGCTCAGATAATAATTTTGGGATGAATTGGACCGAAAACTTAACGTTTTGTGTTTTTTTTTTTATTCGATCTATAGGCCACAATTGAAAGACCAATATCAGAACATAACCTACGGTAAAGAGAATCTGGACAAGTAAAGCCCTCGTCTACTCAATATTAGTAATATTTGTTGACCTTTAGTCGGGTGTCAAGTGGGTGCAAATAACGCAAAGTTAGATATTCGTGGAAATTGTTTAGGGTATCACATGGTCGGCCCCGTCCGACTATACTGCTGCGGTCACTGGTTTTTATATAAATATCTAAAAAAAATATTCTTTAAATTTTCCAAGCCCAGTCTATTGGACCATGAAATATTTTTATGAATCCGGCGATCTATATCAACGACATCTATTGTATACTCCCCAAAACTGTTTGAAGCTTTCGAATTCAATCGATTTCAAAACTCATATTTTTTGGTTGAAACAAGAAAAGCTTTTGTTTGCTATACAACTTTATGACTCGCCTAAGTAAACAAATCAAATGTATGCTAATTAAGCTACGACAACGTCTTAGGGTCGTAAACAATTTTAAACATTTCCATAACATTGAATTTTTTAAGAATTAATTTAAGTTGGGATTTTTTATTGAATTGTTACGCTCTGCGATACTAATAAAATAATTGCAAATTTAAATAAGGTAATTTTATTCCTTTTAATTAAAATAAAAAAAATTACCTAGACCCATTTTCAGGTTTTGAATCAAACGTCATAAAAAATCTCTACGGAAATAATATTCTTTTCTATTGTCGAAACTTGTTGAGTTGGTTTGCGGTTTTTGTTTTTTTTTTTTTTTGAAAATTTACACGTCTGACGCCACTTAATAAGGAAAGGTAAAATTAATCCCCATCAATAAATGGCGTCCGCCAACATAAAATTAGCATTCAGAATAATTAATTAAGTAAAAGATAGTGGTGCCAAAAAAATCGAATTTACAATATTGATTTGAGAAGATAATTAATATTTATGTGTAATCTATTATTGTAGTTGCTTGTGTTCTTTGTTTCGTATAAATGTAAATTAAGTTTCGCAATTAACCCTTTGGGAACAGTACATAATTAAAAGAGAAATAAACAAATATTAAAAAAATAAAATAAAAATAAATCCTCGCCTTTTAGGGTTTTTGAAACTGATTCTACAAAAAATCCACGACTTTTAGGGTTCTTTAAAAAATCCTCTCATTGTAATGGTGTAAAGTGTAAATAAGTAATGCCTATTTTGGCCCCTGAATCCACGCCCTGGGAATCCACGCCTTGTCTGGTCCCTAAAAATTCTGCAAAAACTCCACGCCCTGGGAATTCACGCCTTGTCTGGTCCCTAAAAATTCTTAAAAAAAATCCACGACCAGGGAATCAACGCCTTGTCTGGTCCCTACAAAAAATTCTTGAAAAAATCCACGCCTGGTCCCTAAAAATTCTGCAAAAAATTCACACCTTGTCTGGTCCCTAAAAAAATTCTTAAAAAAAAATCCACGCCTTGTCCGGTCCCTAAAAATTCTTCAAAAAATCCACTCCTTCACGTAAGGTCTAGTCCCTACAAAAAAAAAAAAAATTCTTCAAAAAATCCACGTCCTGGGAATCCACGCCTTGTCTGGTCCCTAAAAAATCCTTTAAAAAATTCACGCCTTGTCTGGTCCCTAAAAAAATTCACGCCTTGGGAATCCACGCCTTGTCTGGCCCCTAAAACAAATTCACGCCCTGGGAATCCACGCCTTGTCTGGTTCCTAAAAAATTCTTCAAAAAATCCACGCCTTGGGAATCCACGCCTTGTCTGGTCCCTAAAAAATTCTTAAAAAAATCCTCACCTTGGGAATCCACGCCTTGTCTGGTCCCCAAAAAATTCTTAAAAAAATCCACGACTTGTGGTGGTCCCTAAAAATATATTATTTAAAAAAACACGCGTTGTCTGGTCCCTAGAAAAATATTCTTTAAAAAATCCACGCCTTGTCGGGTTCCTAAAAAAATATTCTTTAAAAAATCCCTGAGAAAATTTTATTTATAAAATTTACGCCAGGGGAAGCCCCTGAAAAAATATTCTTTAAAAATCCACTCCTGTTATGGATCCCGCAAGACTTCTTCTTCCTATAGAAGAGCTGTAGAAGTAGGTGTACGGTTCTCCAAGGTCTCTCTGTATAAGGTCTGTTCCCTGTTTTATCTGTAGTTCATAATTGGGTTACACACTTTTTAGCCGCTGTGCGAAATTTTCGATTTTTTTTTGTTATTTGCTTTTGTATTTAGCATATGTCAACGGTGTCTGGCGAGCCGAAGATGAAGCAGAAGAACACACAACGAACATACGAAAACTTGAAATCTTCTTTTTAGAAACTATAAAAGTTAGGCTTCGATCTTTTTTCATAATCAGTTGATTTTGTTTAGGTCCCAGAGACACTTCACACATCATGAAGATATTCGTAGTTCTGGCCGCTGTGATCGCTTGCACCCACTCCTATGGAGTAGTTGGAGTAGGAGTTGGTAGAGCTATTTCTGCTGCTACTGCCACAGCAACAGCATCTGGCAGTGCTGGTGGTTTGAATGGTGGTTTTGGTGGCGGTTTGAATGGCGGCTTTGGCGGTCTCGGAGCCGGAGGTTTTGTCAGACCTCCATTCGGTGGATTTGGTGGTTTTGGAGGCTCCGGAGCCATTGGCGGCTTTGGTGGCCCCGCCGCTTTTGGTCGCCCTGCATTTGGCGGCTTTGGACGTCCTGCATTTGGCGGCTTTGGACGTCCTGCATTTGGCGGTTTTGGCCGTCCTAGCTTTGGCGGTTTTGGTGGTTTCGGTGGATTTGGTGGCAATGCCGGCGGATCAGCCTCATCAAATGCTGCTGCTAATTCACAAGCTCTCGGTGGAGGTCTTGGCGGTGGTTTCGGTAATGCCGGTGGATCGGCTTCTGCAAATGCTGACGCTTCTGCCTCAACGGTGGGTGGTGGTCTTGGCGGTGGTTTCGGCAATGCTGGTGGTCTTGGCGGTGGTTTCGGTAATGCCGGTGGATCGGCTTCTGCAAATGCTGACGCTTCTGCCTCAACCGTGGGTGGTGGTCTTGGCGGTGGTTTCGGCAATGCTGGTGGTCTAGGCGGTGGTTTCGGTAATGCCGGTGGATCGGCTTCTGCAAATGCTGACGCCTCTGCTTCAACCGTAGGCGGTGGTCTTGGCGGTGGTTTCGGAAATGCTGGTGGTCTTGGCGGTGGTTTCGGTAATGCTGGTGGTCTTGGTAATGCCGGTGGATCGGCTTCCGCAAATGCTGACGCTTCTGCTTCAACTGTAGGAGGTGGTCTTGGCGGTGGTTTCGGCAATGCTGGTGGTCTAGGCGGCGGTTTCGGTAATGCTGGTGGTCTTGGCGGTGGTTTCGGTAATGCTGGTGGTCTTGGCGGCGGTTTCGGTAATGCCGGTGGATCGGCCTCCGCAAATGCTGACGCTTCTGCTTCAACCGTAGGTGGTGGTCTTGGCGGTGGTTTCGGCAATGCTGGTGGTCTCGGTGGTGGACTAGGCGGTTTCGGTGGACCCCTTGGCGGAGGTTTGGGTAATGCTGGTGGTTCTGCTTCAGCAAATGCCGGTGCCACGACCTCAGCTGTCGGTGGTGGTCTTGGCGGCGGTTTCGGTAATGCCGGTTCATCAGCCTCTGCAAATGCTGGCGCTACAACATCAGCCCTCGGTGGTGCCGGTGGTCTTGGCGGTGGTTTCGGCAATGCCGGCTCATCAGCCTCTGCTAATGCTGGCGCTACAACATCAGCCCTCGGGGGTGCCGGTGGTCTTGGCGGTGGTTTCGGCAATGCCGGTTCATCAGCCTCTGCAAATGCTGGCGCTACAACATCAGCCCTCGGTGGTGCCGGTGGTCTTGGCGGTGGTTTCGGCAATGCCGGTTCATCAGCCTCTGCTAATGCTGGCGCTACAACATCAGCCCTCGGTGGTGCCGGTGGTCTTGCCGGTGGTTTCGGCAATGCCGGTTCATCAGCCTCTGCAAATGCTGGCGCTACAACATCAGCCCTCGGTGGTGCCGGTGGTCTTGGCGGACTCGGTGGTTTTGGTGGATTCGGCAATGCCGGTAGCTCCGCCTCAGCCACATCCAGTGCCAAAACTTCATCAGTTGGTGGTGGATTCGGTGGATCCTCTGCTATTGCCAACTCTGTTGCCAATGTTGTTGTAGGTTAATTTCCGATATACCCCATCCCTTGCCCTCTATATACATGGATTAATTAATTTTTAAGATTAATTTATTACGTATTAAATAATTTTATAAAAAAAACAACCAATTGTGTATTTTTTTCATTTCCTAGGGCCAAGAGAACATTAAATAATCTCAAGAGAACATTAAATAATCTCATATAAAATTTTTACAAGTTGTAGAAAGGGAATTCACGCATTTGCCACATGTCTCACATAGAATTCAGAATTAATGACATCACAGATACGCATCTATAAATTAGATTATTTTCTAAATGTTTTCTATACTACTTATTAATGCTAATAGTACCGGTTATTTTATGTCGGAGACAGCTGTGGCAGATCTTCAAAAAATTTCCTCTAATTGAATATTAAATAAATAATTAAAAATGAAATAAACCTAGAATCATAAATTAATTTTTTAACCAAAAAATCCCCCCAGGGCAATATCAGAAGAATAAGCAGAGACGTAGATATTTTTTCGACAACCCTTTTAAATACCCAAGGCGGAATTTTTTAATATTTTTTCAAGGCTCTATACAACTAGTAGATTTTTTACAAATATTTTTCATAGTGTCTACCAAAGTCGTGGATTTTTTTAAAGAATATTTTTTCAAGGACTAACACAAGGCGTGGATTTTTTCAAAGAATATTTTTTCCAGGCTCTACACAAGGCGTGGATTTTTTAAAGAATATTTTTTCAAGGCTCTACACAAGGCGTGGATTTTTTAAAGAATATATTTTTCCAGGCTCTACACAAGGCGTGGATTTTTTAAAGAATATTTTTTCAAGGCTCTACACAAGGCGTGGATTTTTTAAAGAATATTTTTTCAAGGCCTAACACAAGGCGTGGATATTTTTTCAAGGCCTAACACAAGGCGTGGATTTTTTTTAAAGAATATGTTTTTGCCTAACAAAAGGCGTGAATTTTTTAAAGAATATTTTTTCAAGGCCTAACACAAGGCGTGGATTTTTTAAAGAATATTTTTTCAAGGCCTAACACAAGGCGTGGATTTTTTAAAGAATATTTTTTCAAGGCCTAACACAAGGCGTGGATTTTTTAAAGAATATTTTTTCAAGGCCTAACACAAGGCGTGGATTTTTTAAAGAATATTTTTTCAAGGCCTAACACAAGGCGTGGATTTTTTAAAGAATATTTTTTCCAGGCTGTACACAAGGCGTGGATTTTTTAAAGAATATTTTTTCCAGGCTGTACACAAGGCGTGGATTTTTTAAAGAATATTTTTTCAAGGCTTATAAAGGCGTGGATTTTTTAAAGAATATTTTTTCAAGGCTTATAAAGGCGTGGATTTTTTTTAAAGAATATTTTGTCAAGGCCTATCACAAGGCGTGATGTTGTTAAATATAGTTTTCAATTCAATTGAAATCCCTTATTAGCTAACAAGGTGTATCGGAAGTAAACCCTCAGTCTAAAATAATAATTCTTAATTTAATATACTGTGAATTATTGTCTATTTTTGTGACTTCCCAATAATCGATAATGGAATTTTGGGATTTCCAAGAATTACAACTTCCGTATCAGATGTACGCATGCGTATATTTGTGTACATCCACACAATAATGATTTAACATTAAAAAAATACCTGTTTCACACATCAGTTGATAACAATGCTTATCAGCAATCTATCGTAAAAAGAAATTCAGTAGAAATCGCGCTACATTAGATGGAGCACATCAAACGGGAGGTGTATATTTCAAAAATATATTTTTGCTCTTCAAGAAATAGAGAAAAGTTTATTAAATTAATTATACACGAATCTTTTCAATTTTATGATTAATTATAACATCTGCAGTTATGTGTCAGGGTGGTATCTATTTAAATTGTTGTTTTTTTTTTTGTATCTTTTCTTGAGATGAACAAGTTAATTTATATTGTACATTATTCGTCTTATAAGAGAGAGCTTTTTATATAAGACCAAAGACCGAACACCACGGACTAGGTACTTTGATGAAAATCTGTAATTATTTAGCGGGTCAAATTATATGGCGTATATGTTTTCTACTGAAGGACATAGTCCGCTGAAGTTGAATATATATCCAGAGGAGTGGTTGACTTTTAATTTGATACCAATTATTTTGTTGTGTGTACTCGGATGTGGGAGTTGTACTAAAATAATAAAAAAAAAAATCGCGATGATCGTTATGAAACTTCTCATGATGTGTCAGAGATGATCAAAGACTACCTCTAGTGTTTTCGGTATTAATGAGATGATATGAAATCGACAGGAAATTTTAATTCGGACCCACTCTTTTTAGCCGCCCAATGTTTGGTATTGCGAGGATTTCAGATACTTTTCGTTCCCATTGTGTATGAAATGTCGATGTATTTTTATAGTGTCCATATTACGGTACCAGGAGCTTCAGGGACCTCTGGTGGCTGACAATTAAAGACACGATTTCACTCATATTCATTTACAACATACTGGAGGCCTGAGTGTAAACATTTCCAACAATTGGTCGATACCAGATGAAATGACTTCCTGAATGTCGTAGCTCAATCTCCTGATGTCCTTCCGCATGTATCGTGGCTATGGATTCCTTGCCACTATATCGAGGTTGGGATGCGTGGAAAGTTGACCTGCCAGCAGGAGCTGTCTGGTGAGTAGACCATTAAGTTGATTATCTGCACAAGACACATCCGACATTATTTAAGTAGGACATTATTTTGTGTGATTTGTAGCATTCTCCATTATGAAATGGTGATGGACGAAGTACAGCGTAATTGCGTACAGATCTACTAACTGATTTCTAGGTAGTCATGAGAATCTCACTGTCTTTCCCCCATGTTGTGCCCGAGAAGTCTTTGAGCTCCTTATTGCGTTTCTGGACTTTTGTTTTCAGGGATGGATAAATACAGGGTAAATACCCATTTGCGGGTATTTATTTGGATATTTACTATATTGACATTTTGTGGGAGAGGTATCAGAACCAGTGGAGCGATTGGCCCCATCATCTAATATGTTCTATATCCGGTACAAAAACCAGTAAGGAAAGTAATAAAGTCGGGCTGGCTATATGATACCCTTCACCACTCTGTGGTATTCCTACATATGTGTCCTAACAATTTCATGCCAATGCTTCCGACTAACATCAGTCCATAAAAATGCATTTCTGTAACCTATGCTAAATTTTAGAGTCGTTTGTGTACAGTGAGAGAAATTTATGTAAATCGATTTATAGCACACTTAATACACGCTATTCGGTATGCCGCACTGTACAAAATTTAATCTCAATTAGACACCCATTCGAAATATATATGGAAGCTATGTCTGCACCTGAACCAATAAAAAAGAAATATAAGGACTTTGGTGCGCCATTTACATTAAATCGGCCGAAAATATATATGGTAGCTATATCTAAATATGAACCGATTTTCACGAAACTTAACACACATCTTTAACACACAAATTTCTTTAAAGATATATAGACTTTGGTAATTTTGCATTAAATCGTATATATGGCAGCTATATCTGTTTTTCACGAAACCTAACACATATCGTTCTAGACTTAATTCAGTACGCTGTGTTAAATTTCGTGCAAATTGAAAGATATATAGGGACTTTGGTGCACTATTTACATAAAATCGGACGAAAATATATATGGTAGGTACCTAAATATGAACCGATTTTCAGGAAAACTTGACACACATTATTCTAGAATTAATTCAGTACGCTGTTAAGTCCCTATATATCGTATTGAAAGATATATAGGGGCTTTAGTGTACCATTTACATTAAATCGGCCGAAAATATATATGACAGCTATATCTAAATATGATCCGATTTTCAGTTGTAGGTATCTGTCCATAGGAGAAAGTTTTAAAGCCACGACCAAAGGCCGACCGCCAAAAAAATATTCTATTTAACAGGAGATTATGTCGCGTAGCCGGTGTTATTCTTTTAAAAGGTGGTTCTGTCGCGTAGCCGGTGTAGGTATCTGCTCATAGGAGAAAGTATTAAATCCCCGACCGAAGGCCTGCTAAAAAAAAATATTCTTTTAAATGCAGGTTCTGTCGCGTAGCCGGTGTAGGTATCTGCCCATAGGTGAAAGCCCTAAAAAACCGGCCGAAGGCCGGCGCCAACCACAAAAAAAAACAGTGAGCGGAGCAGTATAGTCTGACGGGGCCGACCATACGATACCCTACACAACTGACACGGAACGATTTTTATTCCAAGTCTGGGCAATATTTAGTGATAGTTACATCCTCTTGCTCGATTTGAGGTCAACAGCAGCCCTTCCTTACCCTGACATATTTTCCGAATATTACTAATATTATTCTCTTCACAGTGGGTTATGTGGTGATGTTCGGCTTATAATTGTTCCTAATAGACCGACTCGAAAAAGCAGAAACAAATTATTTTTCGGTCCACTTCATACCAAAATTATTATATGATCATCACCAAAAATTATAGGCGATGCCCTTGATAGCGATCAGCGCCATATTTCCGCCCTCCAGTGTGTTAATGGGTTACTAATTAATATCTGAATACGCAAGCAACTGTAAATATTTAAGTGTAACTCTCACATCTGAGTACATACGACCATATAATTGGTATCTGTTTAAAGGTCAACCACTCCTCTTGGATATACCACCAACTTTTCGGTTCTATGTTTTTCAGGGGTAAATATATACGTCATAGAATACAAATGTTGTCATTTTTCACACAAAAGTCAGGGTTCATTTGACCTGCTAAATATCGGCCATCTTTTTCAAAACAGACATGCTTATTCTTTGGACCGATCTTCTTCTCCATGTAAAATTTCACGATGTTCAGACCATAATTACGGCCTCTGGAGCGACCAGAAAATTGGACAAAAATAAAGTTTTTGGTCCATTTCATCACCTAAATATTAACCGATCTTTATCAAACACAATAGGGGTCTTCATTGGCCAGAACCCATCCTATATGCAAAATTTCGTGAAGAGTGGTCCATAACTGTGGCTTGTATCTTGTTTACAAATTATAATGGACACACGGATGGACACACATGTCTAGATCGACTCAGCTAGTCGAGATATGACGATCGGTATACTTAATGGTTGGGGGTAGGACCAATATTTCGCGGCGTTTCAAACTTTTGGGACTGCACAAAGCTATAATACCTTGACAACATAGTTGTGTAGGGTATAAATACCTACCTCTGGAAAATTTTTCAGAAAAATTTTATCGTTTTTATAAACTAAGGCTTATCCCTTTTTCCTCCACAAAAAACCGCAGTTTTATCACAGTATGCCCTCTAAACGGTTTGAGATATGACCCCATCATATTATCACTTAAAGGTGGGTCCGAAGAACCAATATAATCGCGGCGTTACAAACTCTTGATACTCTGATAACATAGTTGTGTAGGGTATAAATACCTACCTCTTTAAAAAATTTCAGAAAAATCTGATCGTTTTTACTAAAATACAGATGTCCCGTTTTCCATCCCCATCCGCTCTATATCACAACAGTGCCCTCAAATTTCCTTCATTCGGATTACATACGTGTAATCCGAAGTGTAATTTTTATAGATTATCACACTCGTAGATTTTTTCAATAAGCTTTGTTGATGTAGTTGTGACACCATCAATTTTCACCCTAACTTTTTCTGTCCCTTCACTTCGTATAATAATATGTATGAGGTCATATCGTAATAAGATTGCTACAACTCTTCTCTGACGCCATGTGAGGGCAAAACTACTTTTTCGCAAACAAAAACAAAAAATTTGCAAAGCTGGTTTTCAATATTACAATTTAAATTAAAACCCTATAATATGCTAAACAATAGAGATAGTCAAATGTCAACATATTTAAATTCAAAAACCCCCAAATATAGAAAGACAAATATAATTTCCAATATTTATTTATTTATTTACATAAATAATTTGCCAATAACAAACAACAAATTATGGACTGACTGATGGGAGAATATTGGTGGTGATTACCTATACAAAAAAGATACCCTCTCCACACTTTGTTGTTTATAGGTATTCGCCACCTATATTCCCCAATGTGTACCTAATTCTGCTCTCTCTCTCGGAGAAAAGAGAGCGAGAGAATTGGCCATTCTTTCCCATCTTCTTTAGTTTATTTTTATTAGAAATCCAAAAAAATCATAAACAAAAAAACCTCATCAAGCAATTTTGTAAATGACCGAAAACATCTGTTCGCTTGGCTTGGCTGTTGGCGCTGATTTGAAATCTCATTTAGATGCTAATTGATGCGATCTGCGTAAGTGGACATAAGCGTTATGTGTGTGCCATATTATGCCAAACGTTTTCCCCTTTAATTTCTATGGAGTGGCGGAGAGGGCGATATCGATTTGTTTTACACTATAAAAGTTAAGGTTGTCTTCAGATTGGACAACAGTTCCGTGTTAATCATTCACATCAACGAACCAATCTGACAATATGAAAGCCTTCGTAGTAGTTGCCCTGCTTGCCACTTGTGCCTATGCTGCTCCCCAGCGTGCCCATGGCGGTGCTAATGCTGCTGCCAATGCCGCTGCCACTGCCAGTGTAAAGGGTAATGCCGGAGGATTTGGCGGTGGTTTGGGTGGGGGTTTCGGCCGTCCCGGTTTCGGCGGTCTTGGAGGTGCCGGCGGCGGTTCGGCCAGTGCAAATGCTGGTGCTAATGCCAATGCTGTTGGTGGTGGTGCTGGTGGTTTTGGAGGCCGTCCCGGTTTCGGTGGTCCAGGTTTCGGTGGACCCGGTTTCGGTGGCCCTGCCTTTGGTGGCGCTGGTGCTAATGCCAACGCTGGTGCCAATGCTGTTGGAAGTGCTGGTGTTCATGGTGGTCATGGAGGTCGTCCCGGCTTCGGTGGTGCCGGCCTCGGTGGTGCTGGCTTCGGTGTTGCTGGTGCCAATGCTAATGCCAACGCTGGTGCCAATGCTGTTGGAGGTGCTGGTGGTCGTCCCGGCTTCGGTGGTCCAGGCTTCGGTGGTGCTGGCTTCGGTGGTGCTGGTGCCAATGCTAATGCTAACGCTGGTGCCAATGCTGTTGGAGGTGCTGGTGGTTTTGGAGGTCGTCCCGGCTTCGGTGGTCCAGGCTTCGGTGGTGCTGGCTTCGGTGGTGCTGGTGCCAATGCTAATGCCAACGCTGGTGCCAATGCTGTTGGAGGTGCTGGTGGTTTTGGAGGTCGTCCCGGTTTTGGTGGTGTTGGCGGTGGTCTTGGTGGTGGTTTCGGTAGCGGTTCAGCTTCTGCCTCTGCTTCCGCATCTTCATCCGCCACAGCCAACGGCAGAGGTGGTGCTGGAGCTGGTGCCAATGCCAGTGCTACTGCTAATGCCAACTCTTCCAATTTCCGCGGTTAAACACGGACAATAGTTTGTTTAAATTTTTTGTAATTTAGTTTTAAATTATTGTTAAAAAAAAACACAACAACTGAAATAATAAATTAAGTTATTTTATACATAGTAACTATTATTGTTTTCTAAAAATATCCTTAAAACTATCTGGAGCCTGGAAAAATATCCTTGAAAAGGCCCCGAAAAATATTCTTTAAAAAATCCACGCCTTGTGTTAGGCCTTGGAAAAATATCCTTAAAAAAATCTTTGTGCCTGCAAAATATCCTTCAAAAAATCTATGTGCCTGCAAAATATCCTTCAAAAAATCTATGTGCCTGGCAAAATATCCTTCAAAACATCTATGTGCCTGCAAAATATCCTTCAAAAAATCTCTATGCCTGGCAAAATATCCCTAAAAAATCTCTGTGCCTGGCAAAATATTCTAGAAAATATCTATGCCTTAAATAGGCCTGGAAAAATATCCTAGAAAATATCTATGCCTTAAATAGGCCTGGAAAAATATCCTTGAAAATATCTATGCCTTAAATAGGCCTGGCGAAATATCCTTAAAATTATCTACGACTTAAACAGGCCCTAAAAATTTTCTTTAAAAAATCCACGCCTTGTGTTAGGCCATGAAAAAATATTCTTTAAAAATCCACGCCTTGTGTTAGGTCCTAAAAAAATATTTTTTTAAAAATCCACGCCTTGTGTTAGGTCCTAAAAAAATATTTTTTTAAAAATCCACGCCTTGTGTTAGGCCTTCTAAAAATATTTTTTTAAAAATCCACGCCTTGTGTTAGGCCTTCTAAAAATATTCTTTAAAAATCCACGCCTTGTGTTAGGACCTAAAACAATATTTTTTTAAAAATCCACGCCTTGTGTTAGGCCTTCTAAAATATTCTTTAAAAATCCACGCCTTGTGTTAGGACCTAAAAAAATATTTTTTTAAAAATCCACGCCTTGTGTTAGGCCTTCTAAAACAATATTTTTTTAAAAATCCACGCCTTGTGTTAGGACCTATTCTTTAAAAATCCACGCCTTGTGTTAGGACCTAAAACAATATTTTTTTAAAAATCCACGCCTTGTGTTAGGACCTAAAACAATATTTTTTTAAAAAATATTCTTTAAAAAATCCACGCCTTGTGTTAGGCCTTGAAAAAATATTCTTTAAAAAATCCACGCCTTGTGTTAGGCCTTGAAAAAATATTCTTTAAAAAATCCACGCCTTGTGTTAGGACCTAAAACAATATTTTTTTAAAAATCCACGCCTTGTGTTAGGCCCTTGAAAAAATATTCTTTAAAAAATCCACGCCTTGTGTTAGGCCTTGAAAAAATATTCTTTAAAAAATCCACGCCTTGTGTTAGGCCTTGAAAAAATATTCTTTAAAAAATCCACGCCTTGTGTTAGGCCTTGAAAAAATATTCTTTAAAAAATCCACGCCTTGTGTTAGGCCTTGAAAAAATATTCTTTAAAAAATCCACGCCTTGTGTTAGGCCTTGAAAAAATATTCTTTAAAAAATCCACGCCTTGTGTTAGGCCTTGAAAAAATATTCTTTAAAAAATCCACGCCTTGTGTTAGGCCTTGAAAAAATATTCTTTAAAAAATCCACGCCTTGTGTTAGGCCTTGAAAAAATATTCTTTAAAAAATCCACGCCTTGTGTTAGGCCTTGAAAAAATATTCTTTAAAAAATCCACGCCTTGTGTTAGGCCTTGAAAAAATATTCTTTAAAAAATCCACGCCTTGTGTTAGGCCTTGAAAAAATATTCTTTAAAAAATCCACGCCTTGTGTTAGGCCTTGAAAAAATATTCTTTAAAAAATCCACGCCTTGTGTTAGGCCTTGAAAAAATATTCTTTAAAAAATCCACGCCTTGTGTTAGGCCTTGAAAAAATATTCTTTAAAAATCCACGCCTTGAGTTTGGTCTTGAAAAAATATTCTTTAAAAAATCCACGCCTTGTGTTAGGCCCTTGAAAAAATATTCTTTAAAAAATCCACGCCTTGTGTTAGGCCCCTGAAAAAATATTCTTTAAAAAATCCACGCCTTGTGTTAGGCCCTTGAAAAAATATTCTTTAAAAAATCCACGCCTTGTGTTAAGCCCTTGAAAAAATATTCTTTAAAAAATCCACGCCTTGTGTTAGGCCCTTGAAAAAATATTCTTTAAAAAATCCACGCCTTGTGTTAGGCCCTTGAAAAAATATTCTTTAAAAAATCCACGCCTTGTGTTAGGCCTTGAAAAAATATTCTTTAAAAAATCCACGCCTTGTGTTAGGCCTTGAAAAAATATTCTTTAAAAAATCCACGCCTTGTGTTAGGCCTTGAAAAAATATTCTTTAAAAAATCCACGCCTTGTGTTAGGCCCTTGAAAAAATATTCTTTAAAAAATCCACGCCTTGTGTTAGGCCTCTGAAAAAATATTCTTGAGGCCCTTGAAAAAATATTCTTTAAAAAATCCACGCCTTGTGTTAGGCCCTTGAAAAAATATTCTTTATAAAATTAACGCATTTTTTCGTCTTTGAAAAAAGTACTTTTTAAATAATCCTGCATCCGAAATGGTACTTGCAGCGTTCAATTCCGAATTGATTATGGTTTCTTTTGAAATTTGTATTTAAATAATTTATTTTGGTTTAGAATTTCTCCTAAGCCATAATTAAATTTTGTTTTCGATAATAATAGTTTCGGAACTTGTTTACTGGTCTGGTACTTGTTTTTTTATTTTGTTTGTCACATAAAGATGTTCGGATCTACCAGTCCGGTAGCTAAAAAAATAATTAAAATAACCGTTGTTATTAATTAATTAAATGCAGTTTAAACTTTATATTAATTATATTTAGTTGTGGTTTTTCTTGTTTTCAAATGCGTTATCGAAGTAGGGAGCAGATTAGAACAAAATCTCAGAATTTTGCTAGTGCATATATAAGCGCTGCAGTTTTAGTTCGAAATTCATCAAGTAGTTAATATTCGGAACTCATTGCATCATGAAATTATTCGCAATTTTGGGTGTACTCACTGCCGGCGTTATGGCTGTCAGTGCCATCGGTGGTGGTCTGGGTGGTGGCGTTGGAATCGCAGGATCCAGTGCTTCAGCATCGGCCCAATCGAAATCGTTTGGTGGTGGTCTCGGAGGCGGCTTAGGCGGTTTGGGTGGTGGCCTCGGTGGCGGACTTGGTGGCGGTAAAAGCTTTGCTAATGCTGGCGCATCTTCTGGTGCCTTGGGAGGCGGTCTTGGTGGCGGTCTCGGCGGTGGTTTGGGTGGAGGCCTTGGTGGCGGCAAAGGCTTTGCTAATGCCGGCGCTTCTTCTGGTGCCTATGGAGGTGGTCTTGGCGGTGGTCTCGGAGGATTGGGTGGTGGTCTCGGTGGTGGCCTTGGTGGCGGCAAAGGCTTTGCTAATGCTGGCGCTTCTTCTGGTGCCTATGGAGGCGGTCTTGGTGGTGGTCTCGGAGGATTGGGTGGTGGTCTCGGTGGTGGCCTTGGTGGCGGTAAAAGCTTTGCTAATGCTGGCGCTTCTTCTGGTGCCTATGGAGGTGGTCTTGGCGGTGGTCTTGGAGGTTTGGGTGGTGGCCTTGGTGGCGGTAAAAGCTTTGCTAGTGCTGGCGCTTCTTCTGGTGCCATCGGAGGCGGTAAAGGCTTTAGAGGTTAAGTGAAATCACAACTGTACCCCTAATACATTTGAAAACGACAACCAAGTAAATAAATTTCATCCAAATAGCGAAATGTTGAAGTTAGTTCGTGTGTTTCTTTTTTGTTTCGTCATGCTCCTATTTTGGTTTGTTTGTTTATTTTTGTTTTATTTTTTTAACAGAAGCTGTATTATACAGAAGCTATATTATAATTAACAATGCTAATTTAATTAACTTTCTGTTAACCTGTTTCGGATTTAATAGTTTTGTTTTCGGTGACAGTTTTAAGCTGGAGATTATATATCATAAAAATTGAGTTAAAGTTAAACGAGAATTTAAAACGTATTCATAATTTAAAAAATTCTAAATTAACAAATGTATATGAAAACATTTTTTTCGAAGTTTGATTGGACACACGCGAGGCAAACATTTTCACAACCATCATCCGAACAACAAACGTGGATTTTTCTAAAATAATATTTTTTCAAGGATCATCAATAAGCCTGGATTTTAAAAATAATATTTTCAAGGCGTGGGTTTTTGTTAAAGAATATTTTTCAAGGCCTAACACAAGGCGTAGGGGATGATAGATACCAAGCAACGGCTCTGATTGGCTTTAACATGGCGAAGCCGAGGCTTATCTTGGTGCCTCTTTCATGTCAATTGTGGACACTGACCTCCCCGCGGTGCCACCTGGGGAGCTATTTTTATCACCCGATGAAATAGTGAGCTAATAAGTGCCGCGAGTTCACCCATAAGAACTATAAAAAATGGGTTGAGGCGTCGGGTTAGTTGCCCACTCTCGGAAAATCCAACCTACTATGAAAAAGCAAAGAAAAAGAAAACCAATGTTGACGACCACCGCAAACGTATAAAGGACCACGATCTGCGAATCTGCACTTGGAATGTGCGCACGTTGTACAGAACAGGTGTAGTGTTCGCTTTGGCGGAGGTACTCAAGAAATATTTTTTTATTATTGCCTTAAAGGAAATGGTCTGGCGGAAAGGGACTGGTGTAAGTAAATCAGATGAATAGGCCCTGTATTATAGCTGCCATGAAACGAGACATGAATTTGGCTGCAGATTTATGGTTAACAGGAGAATAAAATACCTCGTCTCCAGATTCACTCCAGTAGATGAGCGAATTGCTATAATCCGCATAAAAGCGAAGTTTTCTACAACAGTCTCATTTGCGACCGAAGATAAAGATGAACAAACCAAAGACATATTTTACGAGCGCCTAGAAACAGCATATGATCGTTGCTCTGGTCATGACATTAAAATTCTGCTAAGAGATCAGAAGGGAAAATATCTTTGGCCCCTCCGTCGGAAAATTCAGCCTTCATGAAAAAACATTAGACAACGGCATGAGGTTGATTGACTTCGCGGCAGCAAAAAACATTGCCGTTAGCAGCACCAGATTCAAGCATCTCGATATATACAAGGCCACTTGGATTTCTCCCGATCGAACAACAAGAAATCAAATCGATCATGTTGTGAAAGACGGAAGGCACTCATCCAGTGTTTTAGACGTCCGATCGATCCGGGGAGCGAATATCGATTCGGACCATTACCTTGTGGCAGCCAAGGTACGCACCCATCTTAATGTAGCAGCAAAGATGCGATCTAATGTGCGATCTAATGTAAATTTGACGTCGAAAAGCTGCAAACACAACAGATAGCAGAAGCCTACTCCGTTCAACTTACACAACTGCTTGGCGAAAGCACCCCTTGTCCCGATAATAATATAGAAGCAAATGGCATATAATTGATACAAACAGCGTGCTGAGGATCTGGAAGGAGCATTTTGAGAAACTTCTGCTATCAAATATTAGCAGTGAAGTGGATACCCCAGAACCAATAATAGATGACGGTATAGAGTGTATACCACCTAACCAAGATGAAGCCAGAATAGCCATCAAGCGGCTGAAGAATAATAAAGCAGCAGGTGCCGATGGGTTACAAGCCGAACTATCTGGTGGTCAGATGCTGGTAAGGAGCAATTTGGCTAGAAGAATGCATGCCCAATGATTGGAACGTCAGCATCCTGTGTCCTGTGGACAAAAAATAAGACAAGACGATATGTGCCAACTATAGAGGAATTAGCCTTCTTCCATTCGCATATAAAGTGCTATTCAGCGTACTATGTGAACGACTGAAGCCATTGGTCAATGACATTATTGGACCATACCAATGCGGCTTCAGACCTGGCAAATCCACCATTGACCACTCTGAGCCAAATCCTGGAAAAAAATCCACGAAAAACACATCGACACATACCACCTATTCGTCGACTATAAAGCCGCATTTGACAGCCCTATTCGTTGAAAAATGTTTAAAGCCATGTCTACGTTCGACATTCCTGCAATATTAATACGGTTATGCAGGATATCTTTAACTGGCACAAGGTCAGCAGTTAAAGTCGGAAAGGACCTCTGTGAGCTCTTTAATACCGAACGAGGATTCAGATAAGGTGATAGTATGTCGTGTGACCTTTTTAACATCCTGCTGAAAAAAGTTCATACGAGAGGCAAAAGTGAACAGAAATGACACTGTACACCAAACAACACATGTTACTCGCCTACGCCGATGACATCGACATAATGGGTCGAACATTGAGGGCGGTAACAGTCACCTTTGAACAAATTGAGAACGAGTCTGGGTCTGGCAGTAAACGGCGAGAAGACCAAGCTGATGGTATCAACGCGCAAGACGTCCAGTAGACTCGGACCAACTGTGGAACTTGAGAACTACAGCTTCGAGGTAGTCAAAGACTTTATATACCTTGGTACCGCCATAAACAAAACGAATGACATCAGAAATTTGGAAAAGGATAGTGATGGTCAAGCGATGCTACTATAATCTGAGCAAACAACTCAAAAGCAAGGCCACCTCCCGCCAGACCAAACTCACACTCTACAAGACGCTGATACTACCCGTGCTGTTATACGGATCTGAAGCATGTGTACTTACGCAAGCAGATGAGACAGCTCTTGGAGTGTTTGAGAGAAAAATTCTCCGAAACATCTATGGACCGATCTGCGTTAACGGTGAATATCGCCGTCGAATGAACCATGAGTTGTACAAGCTATTCTCGGACATCGACATGGTTAGACGTATTGAGCTGCAGCGACTGCGTTGGCTCGGTCATGTTGTGAGAATGGATGACGATGCCCCAGCCCAGAAGGTATATAAAAGTGAACCAACTGATGGTTCGCGCAGAAGGGAAAAGCCAAGAATATGTTGGAAAGATCAAGTCGAAGACAATAGCGCCGAAAATGGTCTTTCAAATTGGAAATATTGCGCAAAAGGCCGACGCGCCTGGAAATCTATTCTAAGCTCGGCTTATGGAACGTAAGTTCTGTCACAACCCAGCTAAGTAAGTATAAGGCGTGGATTTTTAAGGACCATTACATAGCGTGGATTTTTTAAAGAATGTTTTTAAAAATATTTTTTCTATTTTTTGAAAAGGGCTCTTGCAAGACCCGAAATTTTTGGGACAGCTATAACATGCAGATTTTTAAAGAATATTTATAAAAAACCTAAAAAAGGTCAAAAAATCCCAATTTTTTTAACTCGTCTTCTGTAGTAATTGTTTTGTTTTCATTATTTCCAGTTTTCGTTACACGTGTAGGTGCTGAGGTTCCTTGAACTCCTAGTAAAGCCAATTGTTATTCAAAATATTGCAATAAATTGCAAACATGCAACTGTCATAAATTATTGGTATAGAATCTCAATTCTTTGTTCTTTGCGAATTATCGCTATCGAAATTGAAGCCTACCAGAATATTTGGCATTATATATAAAGACTAAAATTGTGTTGTAAATTCATTCAATCGGTTCGTATTCGATCTCCTTGTAAGAAAGATGAAATTTTTCGCTGCTTTGTTGGTCTTAGTGATTGGAGTCGTGGTTGTTACTGCTGGCCCACATAGAAGATATGGTGGATACGGAGGCTACGGTGGTGGCGGATACGGTGGCTACGGTGGTGGTGGATTCCCAGGTTTCCAAGGTGGCGGATATCCAGCTTATGGTGGCGGGGGAAGTGCAATTGCTAACTCCCAATCAACTGCCATCTCACTAGGAGGACCGGCATATTCCAATTCTGATGCGCTCGCTCAATCATATGGCAAATAAATGTAATGTTTGAAAATTATGCAATAAATAAAAAAAACTTGTGATTTTGAATAAAATAAAGGAAATTATATACTGTAAATGTTTTCCTAACTAATCGAGCCTTATAATCGATTTTTATAAAATGATTTTCTTAAATCATTTTTCTGGGATTACCAGAGCTGCAAACTTTAATGTTTTAAGAGCCGCACAGTTATTGCCATTTGGTTATATCGGTTCACGTTTTTATATATTCCCTGTATAGTGGTACCCCTAATTTTCGTTACTTTGAGAATTTGAACAATGTTATTTTTACCGTATTCGCACAAATTTAATATTTCGAGCTTTCATTGGACGGCAAATATTCCTGCAAAAATAAATATGGATTGACTTTGTTAATAGCTCACATGTAAGTTGCCAGCCCATTTATAGGTATTTTTCATCGTCCTATGTGAGTTTTCCAACCGAAGTGACAATATTTGGGCATTACGATGTGAATGTAGTGTCCCTTTCCGGAATCTTGATGGACAAAAAACTACTTCGCAGATCATTTTCGATATACGTCCATGTTTCTACAAAGTCTTCATACAAAGGTTACGCGTCTATTTCGGTATTATCACGTCTAAGCCTAATTCGCGTGGTTTAGTTAAAGGGCCTATATGAGACGTGGGTTCTTTAAAACATTTTTTTTCAAGGACCTCTATAAAGCATGATATTAAACTATTTTTTTTTAAAGAACGCCTGTTAAGGGTGGATATTTAATTTTTTCAATGACCTCTGTAAGATTTGGATTCCTAAAATAATTTTTTCAAGAACCTCTCCAAAAAGCTTGGATTAATGGCCAGGACCTCAATAAGGCGTGGATTCTTTAAATATTTTTTTCATTGCCAGGACCTTAATAAGGCGTGGATTCTTTAAATATTTTTTTTATTGCCAGGACCTCAATAAGGCGTAGATTCTTTAAATAATTTTTCATTGCCAAGACCGCAATAAGGCGTGGATTCTTTAAATATTTTTTTCATTGGCAGGACCTCAATAAGGCGTGGATTCTTTAAATAATTTTTTCATTGCCATGACCTCAATAAGGCGTAAATTCTTTGAATACTTTTTTCATTGCCAGGACCTCAATAAGGCGTGGATTCTTTAAATAATTTTTTCATTGCAATTTTACAATTTTTATTTTTTTAACAAATTTTTCAATGACGAGCTGTGTACTTTTTAAGGATATTGTTTTCAAGCACCTCCATAAGGATTTTTCAAATTATGTTTTCCAAAGATCTGTATAAGGCGTGGATTCTTTAAACAATTTTGTCAAGGACCTTTGTAGGGCGTGGTTTTTTAGACTATTTTTCAAGGATTTCTGTAAGGCGTGGATTTTTTGACAATTTTTTAAAGAATCCTAAAATGCCTGGATTTTAAAAACAAATTTTCAAAGACTTCTATATGGCGAGGATTCTTTAAACAAATTTTCAAAGACTTCTATATGGCGAGGATTCTTTAAACAAATTTTACAAGGACCTCTATAAGGCGAGGATTCTTTAAACAAATCTTTCAAGGGCCCCTATAAGATGTGGTCTTTATAAAAAATATTTTTAGCAAGGACCTCTATAAGGCGAGGATCCTTTAAACAATTTTTTTTCAAAGACCTCTCTTTATAAGGTGAGGATTCTTTACACAACTTTTAATAGACTTATATAAGGTGTTGTTTTTTTATTAAAAAAATTGGACTTTTAAGCATCTGTGGATTACTAAAAAAAATAAATAAACAAAAACATTTTTTTTACGTTGGGTGTAGTAATTATTGCAGTTGCATTATTTCCAGTTTCCATTACACGTGCTTTGGTACCTTAACCTCCTAGCTAAGCTAAATGTTATTCGAAATATTGCAATTAAATACAAAATCAGATGGCCATTAATTATTAGTATAGGAATTATGTGTATTTCGCTTTTAAAATTGAGGCCGGCCAGAATAATATTCAGGTGGCGGATATCCAGGTGGTGGATTCCTAGGTGGAGGATACCCAATTGGTGGTGGTGGAAGTGCAATTGCTAATTCTCAATCAACTGCTATCTCGCAAGGAGGGCCGGCATATGCCAATTCCGATTCTAAAGCTCTAGCATATGGCAAATAGTTACCATTCATGAAAAAATGCAATGATTAAAAATATAAAAAGGAAAAAACATGTGTTTTGATTTTTGAAATATCGAACATTTTTTCAAGGGCCTACACAGGCGTGGATTTTTAAAATAATATTTTTTCAAGGACCTACAAAGTCGTGGATTTTTTTAATATTTTTTTTTTTCAAGGACCTACAAAGTCGTGAATTTTTTAAATAATATTTTTTCGAAGTTCTACAAAGGCATGGATTTTTAAAAAAATATTTGTTCAAGGACCTACACATGGGTACAACACATGCGTAGATGTTTATACCCTCAGCCTTATGGCTAATGAGCCTTATGGCTATACGGTGAAAATGTGCCCATGTTTCTTTAGACAAAATCCGATTCAGAAAATTTGGAGTCGATTTACTTACACATGCTGGTTGGTGCGCACGATAACTCTCGAAGGGAATAATCGATTTCATCCAAACTTTGCACATCTTCATATTTCTTCCAAACTTAGTTTTAGTTCGAAGTTGGGAAATATCGGTCCACTCCTTCTGGTACCTCCCCCACAAAATGTGCTAAAAATTAATTCTGTAATAACATGCAAACCAATATTCTGTAATAATTTACCAAACCTAGATCAAATAGGAAGATGGGTCCCATGGGTCCCATGTCCGATTTGAACCAAATTTTGCACGACCTATTCTGTTACTCAAACCAAGTTCAAGTTTGCAGATGGGACTCGTCGGTCCACTCCTTCTGGTACCGCCCCCACAACATTTCTAATATGCACGAATGCAATATCAGGCGAATGGAATGTCCGATTTGAACCTACTTTTACACAATCTATTATCTTTAACAAGCCCAGATCAAGTTTGATGATGGGATCCATTGGTCCACTCTTTCTGGTACCCCAGCAATTGTTTGATCAAAAAAACTCCGAAACATCTTCAATTAAAAGTATATTAACATAAAAAAAACTTAGAGTTAAGTGACTGACAGATCATCGCCCAGAGAAACGGATGAAGCTTGAAATGTTGAGTTTTGTTGAGATAAGGCTGGATTTATGGAAATTCGAACTAGAAGGGTACGAAAAGTACCAAAATGTACCAAATATGGTACCCTTTGTATTAGGCGAACGGGAAAAGCTAGAATTCTGAAATTTGGAATGTGGATCACTGATGGAAAGTTACAATGATGTACAAAAGGGGTTTTGAAAATTTGACCTATAATTGTACGAGACGTACTAAACTTTACTAAATTTAGTTCCAATGGTATATATATTGAACATATATAGCTAAAATCTTAAACATTTTATGTGGAATACAGTTTGGGAAGTGGTGTTTATGTATGGAAATGGTTTAAGAAATTTGTACTTATGTGTATAAAAAGTACAAAACGGTACCAAATTTCGTACTATTTGCATTTTGCGGATAGGACTGATATCTTGACATTTTGAATTATAGTTACAGTTGGAGTGCATGATTGAGACAGTGTTGGAAATTCGAACTCATAAGTACAAAAAGTACTAAATATGACACAATTTGGATCTATGTGAACGGGTAGGCCTGGGATCCTGAAATTTATGATTAAAATTACTATTGGAGTATATAATTGAGCAAGTTTCGAGCAAGTACGAATTTTCGAAACTTGGTCACGTGTTGGATGTTGCTGAACGGATAGAGCTGGAATCGTTGGTTGAGTACTAAATTTAGTGAAAATATGTACTTATGTGTTCGAAAAGTGCTGAATGGAACAAAATGTACTCATTTGCTAAAATATATAATTTGAATTCTGATCACTTTTGAACAATGGAAATAAGAAAACAAAATCGAAAATTAGTGCATACGTGTATGAAGAGTACTAAATAGTAATATACTTGATATTAGATGTAGGAATAGAGGTGGAATTCGGAATTATAATACAACAAATTATACAGTTTTCTGGATTTCCATATAAGTAGCGGGCACTTCGCTAGTACTTATATAAAACTAATAATAATAATAGAACCTGTGTATAAATCCGAAGACCTCCTCCTCAAACCATAGGTTGAGGGTATATATCTGTCGACAACACCGACTGACACTTTTTTACTTGTTTTAATAATATTTTCCAAGGGCCTTTTTAAAGAGAATTTTTTCATTGACCTATAAATGCGTGGATTTTTAAATAATATTCTTCAAGGACCTACACAGGGCTTTTTTAAAGAGAATTTTTTCAATGACCTATAAATGCGTGGATTTTTAAATAATATTCTTCAAGGACCTACACAGCGTGTATATTTTATTTTTTTCAAGGAACAAGGTTGTTGATATTTTAAATAATATTAAAATAGGACGGGCCGACCATATGATACCCTACACAATTTCCACGAAAATCTGACATTTTGTGGTTCTATATTCTGAGCTTGGGCAATATTTCGCGCTATTTTTACCCTATTGACCGACTTGAGGTCAACAAATATTACTAATATTCAGTACAGCTCTTCTAATTACTTGTCCAGATTCCCTTCAACGTAGGTTGGGTTGCGATGTTCGGATTTCAATTGAGGGTTATAACCGACTCGAAAAAAAAACACAAGAAGTTAAGTTTTCGGTCCACTCCATCCCAATATTATTATCTGATTGTCACAGAAAATTATAGACTTGTCCTTGACCATAACTGGTACCTCATGCGTTCACAGCGTTCAGCGCTACAATTTCGCCCTCTGGTGTGAAAATGGGTTACTAAATAATATCTGAATACATAAGTACCTGTAAATATTTAAATGTATCTCCCACTTCCGAGTACATACAACAATATAATTGGCATCAATTTAAAGGTCAACCACTTCTCATAGATATACTATCAACTTCCTGGGGCTATGTCATTCAGGGGTAAATATATACGCCATAGAATAAAATGTTTGTCATTTTTCA